CATGGCGCATCCTTTTTTTTTGTGCTACTTTGATTACAATTGGCAGCAGCTACCAGCACAAGTTAATTAGCAGATAATTATTAATCAGGGTCTTGCTGGCTGGAAGGGATGATTAATCCAGTGGGCAAGCGGCTAAACAGTGTAGAAAGTGACACCGGCGATCCCTCGGAGATGAGACCTATTGGTCGAACTGTGTACAGTACAAGAGAAGCTCGGTAATCCATAGCCACCATTGTATCCTCCCTGCCATTATATCCAGATGGCACACAACAGGCTTTACACTGTGCTCAGTAGGAAGACTGTAGTGTCTACCAGATCCTGTTTTGAAGAGACCAGCGTCCCGTCTACTGTAAGGATTAGCATGCTGGCTGCAATCTAAAGCTAGTCTACAGGGAATGTGGGGGGGGGGGGGGGGGGGGGGGGGGGGGGGGGGGGGGGGGGGGGCTTAGGTATACAATTTTGTTAAATTGTATACCTAAGCCCCCTAATTGCCAATTGTAATCAAAGTAGCACAAAAAAAGGATGCGCCATGCACAAGAAGACTTAATACAAGTTAGTGTAATCATTAAAATGTATCTATTGGATTAAATTTAGGAGCCCACTGGATATATGGGAGGATCAACACATATATTTCTCTATTTGTCCTGGACATATGGGACAAATATGGAAATATCCAAGGTTTTTATTGAGAAAATTCAAATAAACCAGTAGGACAACGTAGGAATGCATATGGCCTGCCACATAGAATGATCACATTAAATATGACACAGGTAATAAAAGATCAATACATCATAAAATAATACCTTCCACATTATCCAGACTTGAGGGCAGGCTACATCCTCTTTACTGTACTATTCTGTGACATCTTCTTTCTGTCAGTGTTAACATTAGAAATAGTACTGCTGGCTGTCACTGCTGGTGCTAGTTATGATACTGCTGACTGTGACTGCTAGTAAATGTTACAGGGATGCTGATTGGCATTGGCAGTAGAAGTCCTCAGTCTCCACATTCCGTCCTAATAGCTCTCCAACCCTTGCACTGTTCTCTCCATCAACTTTCTAATCTTTACACTCAGCTGAACTAATAACTCTTCAGCCTCCACACTCTGCCACCTTATCAACTTTCCAGGCTCCACACTATAACCCCTACATTAATCCAGCCTTCACGCTGTTTCCCCCAACTACACTCCACCAACAGCTCTCTGCTCCCGCCGACAACTCTTCAGTTTCCTCACATTTTGCCCTGACAACTCTCAAGCCTCCACACTCTGCCACCCTTATAACTCTATAGCCTCCACAGTCTCTTCTTCGGCAACTCTACTGCCTCCGTACTCTTTGCTCCAGCAATTTTCAAGCCTTCATCATCCCCCAAAACAACCTTCTACTCTTAAGACTTCCTCCCCTCCCAACAACTCACCAGCCTACACACTTTACCATCCTAATAACTCTCTAGCCTAAATATTCTTTCCTCCAACATCTTGTAAGCCTCCATACTCTCTCCCTCAACAGCTCTCCAGCTTTCACACTGTTCCCTCAACAACTCTCCAGCCTTTACACTCTGCTCCCTGACAACTCTTTAGCTTCTTACACCCTTTCCCTCAGACCTCTTCAGACTCCACGCTGCTTCATCAAACAACTCTCCATCCTCCACATGTATCTTTCTAGTCTTTCTCTAGTCACCACACTCCCTAACAATTCTTCAGCTTTCACAGTCTTCCCCATTAACATCTCTCCATACTTCACACTCTTTCCAACAACAATTCTACTGCCTCCATACTTCCCTCCAACAACTCCCTATCCTCAACATTCTTCCCCCCAATAACTCTTCAGCCTCCCACACTTTGCCATCTTAAAAACTCTCTAGCCTCCATATTCTGTCCCCCAACAATTTGCAAGCATACTCTCTTCTCCAGCAGCTCTACAGCTTCCACACTGTGCCCCCAGCAATACCCAGCCTTCATACTCTGCAACCCCTGACAACTCTTTAGCCTCAACTTCTTTCCCTCAGACCTCCTCAGACTCCACACTGCTCCACCAACAACAACACTCTATCCATAATATCTTTCATATCTTTCTAGCATTTTTTCAGCCTTCACTCTCTGCCTCCTAACAACTCTCCAGCTTTCAGTCTTCCCCTCAACAACTCTCCAGCCTCCAAACTATTTCCATCAATAATTCTACTGCCTCCATACTCCCCGCAAACAACTTTCCATTCCTGACACTCCTCCACCTAACAACTCCCCAGCCTTCATACTTTGCTATCCTAAAAACTCTCTAGCCTCCATATTTTGCCCTTCAACAACTTTCTGACTTTTATACCCCCCCCGAACAACCTTCTAGTGTTAATACTTTTCCCCCAAAAAACTCTCCAACCTCCACACTTTGTCATTCTAATAACTCTCTAGCCTTAATATTCCTCCCCCCCAACAACTTGCAAGCCCCCATACTCTTCTACTCAACAACTCTCCAGCCTTTACACTCTCCCTGACAACTTTCTAGCTTTTTCACTCTTCTCCCTCAGACCTCTTCAGACTCCACACTGTTCCACCTAACAACTTTCCATCCTCCACACTCATCTTTCTAGCACTTTCCAGCCTTCTCACTCTGCCTCCTAACAAATTTTCAGCTTTCACAGCCTTCCTGACAACTCTTTAGCCTCCCTACTCTTTTCTCTAAGCCCACTTCAGATTCCTCACTGTTCCACCTAACAACTCTCCATCCTCAGCACTTATCTTTCTAACATTTCTCCATCCTCCACACTCTGCCCCCAACAACTCTTCAGGCTTCACAGTCTTCCCCTCAACAAATCTCCAGCCTCTGCACTCTTTCCATTAACAATTCTACTGCCTCTATACGCCCCTTCAACAACTCCCCAATTTTCAGCACTATTCCTCCAACAACTCTCCAGTCTCCACACGCTTCCCACCAACAATTCTACTGCCTCTATAACCCCCTCCAACAACTCCTCTTCCTCAACACTATTGCTCCACCAACTCTCAAGCCTCCACGCTTTGCCATCTCAATAATCCTCCAACCTCCAAACTTCGTCCCTAGGTTGACATACTGATCTTTCGCTTCAAGCTGGGGATCCAAACAAAACTTCAAATCAGAAATGCAGAGAAAAGTCACAAGTTCTCAATTGCCTCCTAGTTTCCGGTGACTGACTCAAATTATTGAAGGTAGGGGGTCAGCATGACATCAAGGCAATTAGAAGTTTTGTGAGCAGAGCTCAGCAATGGCAGCGTCCATACTGCTTGGTTTCTTTTATTATTTGGTCTGGGGGGGGGGGGGAGGGGGTGTTTTATAAGGGCTACGTTTGAGCAGCAAAGGGCAATTTCTGACTCAAGCTGTGAACTCATAGTAAACCTTTCTCATCCTGTGTCTCACTGCTCCTGTTTCACACCGCCTTACTGTGCAGCAAAATTGGTAAATCTCCCCCGTGTCCTTTTTTTTATCATAACAGGTAAATATTGACTTGTTTTTTTTTAAACACAAGAGGTAAAACGTTTCTGGACCTAATAAACAAGTCGGATTAAGCGCCTGATTTCATCTCAGGACAAAGGGCAGCTAATACTGCGCACAGGGTAATTAAATATGCTGCATCTCGTTCATGCTAATAGCATTTTCTCTGTTTCCCTTTGGGTGATGCCAACAGAAGTGTTTGACTGAGTCAGCTTTCCTTTATGATTCTTAAGTTAGGTTCTGACAAAAGACTGCACTAATTGGATATTAGCAAATGAAGTTGTATGTGACTTTCATTTTAAAGTGCATGGTGCATTTAGGTTCTCTCCAAATATGAACTCATTTTTACAAGGACTTTTGGAAGTTTATTTAAAGGTAAACTCCTGCCCAGGGGCGGACTGACCATTTGGGAACTCGGGCACTGTCCGAGGGCCCGGGGTCAGTAGGGGGCCCCATGAGATGCCCCTGGTACCTTTCATAGGCTTTTTTGGGTGTGGTTTGAGTGTGAGTGAGGACATAGGGGCCCCATGATCCCCTATTGCCCGGGGGCCCCATGAGTTGTCAGTCCGCCCCTGCTCCTGCCTTACCTCTTACCCAGTTGCCCAGGCTCCTGTTCTGTATTGAAATTGCTTGCTCTGGTTTCACTGCACACTGTGAGCTTCTCACTGTGTGCACTTGAAGCATTAGTCCTCATGCACACTTGACGTTTTTACAGCAGCTGTTTTTGGCTTGTGATGTTTTTTTTCTACAGCTAGTAAACTCCCCAGCATGTTATCCTATGTACCCATGCACACATAGACTGTAATCAACGTTTTTTGGCTGGAAAAAACCCCAGGACTAGTGCGTTTCTAGGTGAGTTTTTTAGCTGTAAAAACACTCTAATGCTGAAAAAAAGCGGCAAAATGCGGTAAAGTGCAGTAATACACCACAAACCGGCATCTTTGTATTTTTTTTGGTAAAAAAAGACACAAACGTGGCAAAAGGCCACTAAACGCTAATGCAAAAACACTAAAAAAAACGCTGAAAAACTCACATTTTTAACATGACTTAACATAGGTAACGTTACCAGCATTATCAAAATGTCCCGCATGCATGAGGACAGAGAAGACAGACAGACCCTACCTAGTCTAGCTTAGTCTCCAAACTATGGCCCTACTGGTGTTGAGGAACTGCAAGTCCCATGAGGCTTTGCAAGACTGTGACAGCCACAGGCAAGGCTCCCAGAGGCAGAGGCATGATGGGACTTGTAGTACTTCAACAGCTGGAGGGCCATAGTTTGGGGACCCCTGCTCTAAAGCACTAAAATACAGACTACTACGTTCAAGGGCCATACAATAGGAGCCAGAGAGTTGCATGTGGCCCAAGGGCCGATGCAAGGATTTTAGTCTATACAGCACTGAAATTTAGAGTTGTCCTGAACTGCTAATAATTGGCAGTGTGTAATGTGGGGGCAGGATTATGCATTGCTTTGTTTTTTTTTTGGTACAAATTGGGCTTTCTTTTGGTAGTAAATGGCATTGGATATCTCCTGATTTTTTTGTAGCCTCTCTGGCGATATTCCCGAGTGTAGCTCGGGGTAAAGTTTCAGTACCACAAGCGGTAACCCCGAGCTACACTCGGGCTTACCATGCGGCGTTGCTCTGCGATCCCTCGATCACTTACCTTGTCCTGCGCTCCCGCGATGTCCCTCCTGCAGTGTCCCCGGCAATGTAATCCGGGTTACAATGTCATCTGGGTTCCGTCCCCTGCGAGCGTCGGGACGTACGGGGGACGGAACGGCGGTAAATTTGAAAATGAGAAAAAGTGACATTCACTAAAATCACTAAAATCACATAGTAAAACATTACTGTATCAAAGCATTTTACGTACATTTTGTCCCGAGTGCTTTGTCCTCTGCCCTGCCTGCATTTTTACTGTTCTTTCTGCCTGGAAACTGAGAAATGTCCATGGCGTCCAAAAAGCGTCCCTTTAGGTCAAAAGTGGTTTTAGACCGGCTAGAGAACAGCGATAGTAAATTAGAACCACTTGCAGAATTGAGTGATAATGATTCGTGGGGAAAATTCGTCAGCAGACACTGAAAACGATTTTGCGACTTTGCTCAGTGATGTGCGAACTTGGCGCTATATTTCAAATTTCAGTGTTTTTGGTTTGATTATATTATTGAATTTAATTTATTATTATTATATTATTATTATTTTTTTACGATTATTTATTCAATTATAATTTATGATTTCGTGTTTCAAGTTTTATCATACCCGGGATGTTTAATAGACTCTTGTTCGGACAGATTTCAGTGAGTTATTCCTAAAAATTACAGGCCTACAATATAAAATGCCAAATTTCCATGCAAAATAACGGTACCGCTTTCAGCACCAAAAATCTGAAATAATCACACCGCCAGGGAGGTTAATTATCAAAGGAAAACTGGCCCCAAATAGTAAAAAAATAATAATTTTTTTAATTTAGCTGTATAATTCTTGCTATTACCATAACTTACCACAAAAGAACAACCCAAAATCAATTCTCCTGCTCCTGACAATTGCAGTTATACCCCATATGTGTATGTTATTTGTAGCTTGTACCCGTAGTATGGCCCAGAAACAACAGTGCACATTTTGCTTTTTTGTACGCTGCCTAATACACCTTGACACTGACACTATCTGACACTGATACTAATGTAAAAAAAATGCTTCTTCTTTTTTTAAATCCTACCCAAAATATACTGACCCTGACCTTTGGATCCTGACATTTTTACCTTTACCTTGACCTTTGACTCTTTCCTTGACCCTGACACTGACCTAGATGAAGCCTTGATCTAGCTTTTATTGTTTTTTTAAATTATTATTATTTTTTTACACCCTTTAGTTTGTTTACATTTTTTCTCCCTTGGCAAGGAAAAGATAGAATGTACATTTCTCTCCATTCAGAGAAGAAAAAAAACACATGGCCGGACTGAACAGTGACTGATCACTTTGATAGCCAATCAGATGCTATCATATTGATCAGGTGATTGGGAATTGGGAGTCCTGATTCCCAATTGTTTGTATGAGTCCCGGGGCTGTCAGTGAAAGCCTGGTCTCTGTGCTGGGAGCGCTCCTAGCACAAACACTGCTGTGTAGAAGTGGCGAGAAGGAGTTAAAAATCCAAATCCCAAGCAAGTGGCTTGGAATTTAGATTTTTCTGAAACCCCCCACCCCTCCCAGTCCTGGTGCCCTAAAGCAGCTGCCTAAGCAGCCTTATCCTGTTCCCAGGATGCATCAGTGCAGAAAGGACTAAGTCATCAATACCTCCAGAAATTGGGCAGAAGAAAGGTAAGTAAATCATTTCACTTGAAAAACACAGTGGGGGAAATTTACGAAAACTGGGTGCACTCAGTATCTGGTGCCGCTGTGCATGGTAGCCAATCAGGTTCTAACTTCAGCTTGTTCTATTAAGCCTTGGCAATAAAACCTGGAAGCTGATTGGTTTCTATGCAAAGCTGCACCAGATTTTTCACTCAGTTTTAGTAAATAACCCCCAGTGTTAGATAACGCTTGCTGATGTGAATTTTAGTAAAATAGGGGAAAGGTCTGCTTTAGGGGAACCGGCTACAGTCTAGTAGAAATTGCAGGCTGCTCACTTGACAATGTAGAAATATCATATAGTCCCATCTGTATATACATAAGGTGGAAACAAAATAAATGCAAGAGATCCACTTCATCAAGATTAACACCAGGGCTTTTTTTTTCAGCGGGGAGAAAAGAATGTATGTACTGGCAAAGGGGGTTTGGGTGTGCTGAAGGGTCTATTGATGCTGATTGCTGGGGATCTAATGTAGCTGGAGGTGTAGTGTTGCTGGGGAGGTCTATTGTAGCTCGTGGGGGATCTATTGTTGCTATGGGGATCTTATATTGGTTGGGGATCTAATGTTGAGGGGGAGGGTCTATTGATGCTGGCTGCTGGGCGATCTATCTCTGTATTCTCTAAAAAGAGCAGTACTTAGAGGTGGATAGGGGGCAGAGACAAGGGTCAGTGCTCAAAGGCAGGTCAGGGGCAAAAGACAAGGGGTGACTTGAAATGGGGGGGGGTACCTGCACTTATTCTCTGAGAAAAAAGCCCTGATTAACAGTGCCTGTATCCAAAAGGATCGTACAATACCATGGCAGTCTTTATATAATTGTTTATTGAAGGTTCCAAGGATAGACCATGCATTTCAGGGATCAGTGTCCACTTCATCAGGGCTAATAATAAACTTGATATTAATTATTAAACTGTGATCATATTATTCTGTAAAATGTACATAAAATATTTAAATTATATAATATCATATTCATAAAAATGTGTCTACGCCAGGGGCGAACTGACTATTTGGAAACTCGGGCACTGCCCGAGGGCCCGGAGTCAGTAGGGGGCCTCATGAGATGCCCCTGGTACCTTTTTCATAGGCTTTTTTGAGTTTGGGCAAGGACATAGGGGCCCCATGATCCCCTATTGCCCGGGGGGCCCCATGAGTTGTCAGTCCGCCCCTGGTCTACACCAACATATATACAATAAATATATACAGTATATCTACTTATACTGTATATAGATACAGTATATACTTCCAAATATATGCATTCATACATGCATCCATATACACAAGTAGCACTACCCCTTTAGGGACTGCTGAGTTTTGTTTGGGTCCCCCTTGCTCTGCACAGCCATGCAACATGCATTTCCACCCTTAGAGTCTATAAACAGTCCTTGAGCTGGTTTTTAGTTGTTTTTATTAAGGGGGTTAACAACTTGGATGGGGTCTAGGGGTATATAGGATGCCCAAGGAACTATGAAACTTTAAGACAAACTTCTAAACAACAGAATGTGGACTAGCGAAAAAATAACAACAGTCTTTGTTGAAGAATGCTACAGTCCCTTTTTGGTGTGCCTGCTCAGACCTTGGATGAATCCTCCTCTTTCATGAGCTGTACTAAGGGTATCCCTGAGCAAGAGGTCACTGAAGCTTTCAGTTAAGCAGTCACATATGAGGACTAGTTGGGCTTCCCCTTATCTGGCCCAAGAGGTGTAGGACTACTCATACTCATACTGTCCTGTTCTGTCAGCGTGGTGGGTTGGTAGCTGCTTTCAGGCCTTTCACTGGGCTGGCTCCTTCCCTGCTGCTCAGGATATCCTCCCTTGGAGACTTTGGGCAGTGGAGATCCTCCCGTCCAGCAACCAACCTGTAGGTAGGCTCCCCTCCCTGGGATTCCCTCCCAGGCTCCACACTCCAGCCTTCCTTCAATCCATCTTCCACCGACTCCCCTTGCTCCCCAGGCTCTGTCATATTTAAGGGTTGCCCTGGTCGCCATGCCCAGCCTCCTGCAAGGGATTGGCCAAGGTTCCTCAAACATGCAGATCTGGACCTCCTCCCCTCTTCCAGAAAGTTCTCCACTTTCTGGAAAGGTGGGATAATTCCAAAAGCACTGACCTGTAGAACCTCCCAACCTGTCCTGAGGTGAACTCCTGCCTCACTCCCAGGCTGACTCACCCCCTGGCTGCTCAGCCTCTATCCAAAAAAACAACAAACCTAAAAAATTAACACATAAAAAAATTAAACCAGATAAATCAAGAAAAAAAATCAAGAAAAAAGTAAAGCACATTGTTTTTATTTTATAGTATAATAATGAAGATATCTTATGTGTTTATTTTAGTGCTTAATAGATTTCTGCAATAACCCAAATTCTGTCGAATTGTCAATGCGTATAGTCAGTTTAGCTAAAACTGTAAATAATGATGCCCCTTTCAGACATTGTTATCAAAGCAACAAAACACAATAATTCAGTAACTTTACAGCTCTGCGTGAATACATCCCTGACATGTCAATATACAGCAACAGTATCATTTTTCAAAAAAGCTTTACCTTTAATCATTAAAAAGCTGTCCTTCAGCTCCAAGTAAGGTGACTTAGTCTAAGCCGGGATGATGTTTTCACTGAATCCCTGGGATGTCCTGTGATTAGACTGGGCACTGTAACTGTAGCAAGTCACAAGGTGAGAGGGACCTGGAGAAAGTGCAGAGAAGGGCAACCAAACTGATAAGAGGCATGGAGGAGATCAGCTATGAGGAAAGATTAGAGGAACTGAATTTATTTTCTCTTGAGAAGAGAAGATTAAGGGGGGATAAGATCTCCATGTATAATACATAAGGGGGATATGATCAACATGTATAATACATAAGGGGGGATAAGATCTCCATGTATAATACATAAGGGGGGATATGATATAATACATGTATAATACATAAGGGGGGATATGATCACCATGTATAATACATAAGGGGGGATATGATCTCCGTGTATAATACATAAGGGGGATATGATCACCATGTATAATACATAAGGGGGGATATGATCACCATGAATAATACATAAGGGGGGGATATGATCTCCATGTATAATACATAAGGGGGATATGATCTCCATGTATAATACATAAGGGGGGATATGATCTCCATGTATAATACATAAGGGGGGATATGATCTCCATGTATAATACATAAGGGGGGATATGATCTCCATGTATAATACATAAGGGGGGGATATGATCAACATGTATAATATATAAGGGGGGATATGATCACCATGATATATAATACATAAGGGGGGATATGATCTCCATGTATAATATATAAGGGGGGATATGATCTCCATGTATAATACATAAGGGGGGATATGATCTCCATGTATAATACATAAGGGGGGATATGATCTCCATGTATAATACATAAGGGGGGATATGATCAACATGTATAATACATAGGGGGGATGTGATCTCCATGTATAATACATAAGGGGGGATATGATCAACATGTATAATACATAAGGGGGGATATGATCTCCATGTACAATACATAAGGG